GTCTGTGGATCTGGCCAGTATTTTGGCCTGTCATGATTGACAGCCTTAACTAATTTTTATCTTACACAGCTAATGTGATTTCATCATTAGAGTCACAAATACAACAGGGAAACCATGATGATTCAATTACTTTTCAGCTGATGATTTTTACCATTTAGCTGGAGATTCAAGTTAAATCAGCCTCTCAAATGGTCCACTTAGTGCTACAGAAATCAGCCCTTAAAGAATGATTTTCATCATACAATGGAATTTTTCTATTACCACAGATATCTCAGAGTTGTTCCTTTTTTTTTTTTTTACCTGAAACATAAAATACCAGGTTTTTTTTTCACAAGAAAAGATGAGGCTAAAGAAAAATTAGTTTTATAGCAGAAAACTACAAGGAAGGTGACATCTGGCAAGTGTGATACTTTGTTATCCTGTTAGGTTATCTCTCCTAGGCAGGATATTATTTTCAATTATATTTAAACTGAGCAATGGTCAATTATATCACATCAACTGTAGCTGTAGCAACTAGGAAAAAGTACAGATATTCATACTCTTAAATAATTATGACGAGTAATTTTAAGAACAGTGTGAAAAATAGGGTTTAATTGATAAGAGTCATTCATAGGCCAAATTACAAGGGGATGCAAAATCTACATTTAAGAAATAAGACAAAATTCAATTGGAGAAGCTTTGATTTAGGCAAACGCCAGCTACTAAAATGAGAAAAGCAAGTATAGGAAATAAGTAAAAAGAGGAGAATGAAGAAAAGGGGGTAGAAGTTAAATGAGAGAAAGTTAATGAATAAAGTTAAATGTGATAAAGCCTTGCCTTTGGAATAATACAGGAATTACTCCCTATAGCGTAGTGTGAGTTTCTATATTTATTAAAGGGGCTGCACCACTAAAGGTGATACTTGTCTTCTGTAAATCTTTAATGATGTAGAGTCCACTGTGAGACTAACTGGTTTGTAATAAAGTATATGATGAAATGAAAATGATACCAGTAAGTGCAAAGATATGGAAAAAAGTATTTGTGATGTTCCATCTAGACATATCCTTCTAAATTATTCTGATTGAAAAGTTATTACTAACAAATACTATAAAAACAGCTCATAAACAAGATATAGAATGCTTTATAATTATGTAGGGTGCTAAGTCATAAATAATAAATTATAGTTTTGGTGAAATTAAATGGAGAAAGGTTTGTTTCATAAAGTGCCATTGATATATCGATATTAGCATTATTGTATCAAAAAAGAACATTCTAGAAAAGAATATTCAAAGAAAACAGGTTCTAGAATGCAAGTTCAATCAGATAGAAGGATGGTTTACATTAATGAGGAAAGTATATATATTTTTTTTCAATGTTTATTTATTTTTGGGACAGAGAGAGACAGAGCATGAACAGGGGAGGGGCAGAGAGAGAGGGAGACACAGAATCGGAAACAGGCTCCAGGCTCTGAGCCATCAGCCCAGAGCCTGACGCGGGGCTTGAACTCACGGACCGCGAGATCGTGACCTGGCTGAAGTCGGACGCTTAACCGACTGCGCCACCCAGGCGCCCCTGAAAGTATATTTTTAATATCCTAAGGAGATTTAAAAAATTGAGGATTTCCGCTCTATTATGTAAAGAAGTAGTTGGGAAGCCTGGGTAATCAGTCAGTTAAGTATCCAACCCTTCATTTAGGATCTGGTCATGCTCTGATGGTTCATGAGATTGAGGTCTGCATCAGGCTCTGTGCTGACATCGTGGAACATGCTTGGGATTCTCTCTCCCACTCTCTGCCTCTCTCCAGCATGCCTGCTCTCTCTCTCTTTCTCTAAATAAATAAAAATAAATAATAAATAAATAAATAAAACTAATATAAAAATAAGTTAAAATAAATACAACTAATATAAAAATACATTAAAAAGAAGTAGCAATATAATAATAAAATTGCAACATGTAGCAAGAACTCAAATACTATTTTCAAACACCCTGTCATTCCATCTTTATATAAACCATGTGTGTTTGCTACTAATACTCAGGCTATTTTACATTTGAGTAATCTAAAGTATAGTGAGACCATAAGACTTGAAAATAGCCCCAGGGGTCCCAAGTGACAGAGCTTGACTTTGGGTCCCAAGTTCTTAACCTCTCTGTGCTCTTCATTTGCTTGTGACCCATTATCTTAACTATCCTTCATAAAATTATTAATTTTGGTGACTAAAACATAAAATTTCAGCTTGATTTTTTTAAACCAAGCTTAGGTAAGGTAAGTAAGTATAAATGATGCCTAAATTAATCTGGATGAAAAATCCAAATTCTTATTATATATTCAAAATATAATATTGAAGTAGTGACTATGACATGTATACCTCATGGATGTGCATAACATTTACAGTATTTAAAGACCTTACAATATAATTTCAATTGGAAACCTACAGAATTGACATTATTTAATGCCCCGTCAGAATGTATGCCTACCAATGACAAAGTTTTTCAGAAATATTTAGTATATGTAATACAGTATGTTTCATAAATTCTTACCAAGTATTTCACTTATTCTGCTACTTTGGCTTTTAGAAAATAGTGCTTATTTAGCTTCCCATTCTAAATAAGGTGGGGGAAGTGTATCGGCATAAACAAAGGAGGATAAAACACTTTAATCAGTCATTCTTTTATTCTTTTTATAGTTAGTTAAATCAAGTCACTGGAAACTATAGACACTTTTATTTTTTTTTCTTACCTTGTTACCTTAAAAGTATGACCCAACACTTGATTGTATATCTAAAACTTAGATCCAAATCTGTCAGAGTCAAATCTAGGTTTGTAGTTTTTATTTTTAATTGTGAGATGAATTTACCCTTTGCAATGCTGAAAACTTAGATATTAATTAGATCTTTGTTTTAGAATTAACATTTCTTGCCACAGCCTGTTTAGCTTTCCAACCCTACTTCTAGTCCCCAGCCCTCACCTCATACAGACTCTTAAACTGCTTCTTTTGTCTTGAACCCTTTAGTTGACTGCTCTTACTTTATTCTCACTGAACAATGTACATAGTTAGCAGTTAGGTAAATCCATCACTGGGAAAACATCTGAGTCACTATTTATTATTACATAAACTCACAATGCAGGGTTCTTATTCCTCACACTACATATATGATCATAGTATTCTCATAAAAATCAGGTCTGGGAGGGGAAAATAGTTTCTCCATCTGAAACCAGTAAAATTTTCTCATTCTTCCATTGATTTGCAAAATACTTTCTGAATACCTATTCTGTGCAAAGTACAAAGTTAACAACTTAGGGGTATAAACATACATTTCAAAAAACCCCCTTTCTCAAGGAGCTTATTGGGCATTGGAGGAAAATATACACATAATTAGAAGACATTCGGAATGAAATTAAGGCATGCAAGATCCCATTGGAGCACTAAGCAAGAGCAAGTCAATTCTGATTGGTTATCACTCAGGAAGTGATATTTAAATTGTCCTTTGGTGAAAAACAAAGTAGTGATAGGTAGTAAAAAGAATACCTAGGGAAGAGAAAAATTATTAAAGGGTAGGTGGATAATACACAAAATGGCACAGAAGTGAAAAATAGCTTTCTGTGTATATTGAACAGCAAGTAATCTCATGTGTCTGTAATCCATAACGACTTAAGCGATGAACCGAGACATGTGTCTCAAAAAATAAAATGGTACAAAATCATAGAGGTTCTTGAACTGTGAAATAAAAATTTTGGAATGCACCGTTTAAATAATGGGGGCCATTTGTATTTATTTAGTAGAGAAATGGCATGATACCCTCTTCTCTTATTCTGTATAGTTCACACCTGTTGTTTTCTTTGTCTATAGCACTTTTCTTCAGAGCACTTATAACCTCCATACTTTTATTTGGCAAAGTCCACAAATTAGCTTGTTTCACCCCTTCTGTTAAGCTTTGTGAAACTACTTTTCTTGTGATACTTTATATACTTCCCCCATTTTCCTTCCTTGTGCTCAAACTATACATCTTTTTATGATCCTTATAATTATCTCTTTTCTTCTCTTTCTCCATCACTTGACTTGAGTTCAGGGAGAATTTATCATTGGTCTTTGTATCCTCAGTGCTCTTTTAGCATGTTGCCCTCTAGGTGGTTAATACATTTCAGTTGAATGAATGCTCAAAAATGTATCTTGGTAAGAAAAAATTGACATCAGTGAGGAAAGCACACTGAATAGCCAACAGAGTAAAATAAGAGATAATAACTCAGTGGTCACTGTATTGGGAGATTATAAGAAAATAAAAGAAGAAAGTGAAGAGAGAAAGGAAAGGAGGAAACAAACAAACAAAAAAATACAGCTGTTTAGATGGGACAGAGGCATGGGACTGAGTTGAAAACGACACTAAATAACTTGGAGAAAGCTTGTACATTATCACACATGGGGTTGATTTTGCTAAAGGAAGATAGGAATTTCTTTTTTTTTTTTAATTTAAGTTTATTTATTTATTTTGAGAGAGAGAGAGAGCACAAGCAGGAGAGGGGCAGAGAGAAGGAGAGAGAGAATCTCAAGCAGGCTCCACACTGTCAGTGCAGAACCCGATGTGGGGCTTGAACCCATGAACAGCGAGATCATGACCTGAGCCAAACCAAGAGTCAGAGGCTTAACCAACTGAGCCACCCAGGAGCTTCTTTTTGATGGGTTTTATTTGATATATCTATTGGAGCATCCAGTTTTTTGGGGGGGGATGTCTGGAAAACATAATAATCCCACCTCAAAACATAAATATGGGCTACTCTATCTTTTGTGTAAAAGCCTAAAAGTTATCCCTAAGCAAGTTTGGGCTACTATGGAGCCATAACAGTGAGAAAAAAAAGCAAAAATCAACAGAGAGATAAATGTACATCTCATCCTGTTCTTTAGAAGCAATATCTAACGTTTTCCCCTAATCTTAAGATTTGGGTGTTCAAAAGTTTAAGTTCTATTTGAATCTTACTCAACTGATTCAAAATTAATTATATGTTATTTCTCTCTTGCTTTTCTGCAGTATGCTGTCTGGCTAGTCCTCTGGGTTACCTGGAATGTGTTTGTTATCTGCTTCTATTTGGAGGCTGGGGACCTCTCAAAGGTAATTTGCCATCTGATTTGCTGAGTCATCAGTAGTGTGTTAACAAGCCTCTTCCTAAGTAAGTCAGTCTCCCCCTGCTCTTGTTGCTTAGATGCACCTCGAATGAAGGTAAATTGAAAGATGTCCTCATCTATATCTCTGCTTTTCTACCATGAAAGATATGTTTCAGCTTGTCACAAAGTGTGCTTTTATTATTTTAAGCAAAACCAGTGTGAAATAATGATTATTACAGTGGCTATACTGTGTCTTTTAAAACATTGACTTAGGAGAAATTTCTGAAGCAGAATAGGAATTTTTTCAGAGATAAAATCCTAAAAATTTTTGGAATCACCTCATTGCTTATTACTTTGCTAAAAGTTTTCTTGCTTGGACCCAAATAGCAATGCAATAATTCAAATAATTAATGGATTAATGGATTATAGTTTAATAAAATTGTTACCAGAGAGATTTAATAAATTATATAAATGAATAAAATGTTCCAATATAATATAGGAGAGCCTTAAAATACTTGCTTTTCCACTTAGGTTTTTT